TAGAGAACCCAACAGTTTAATGGTTTGTCCACATTTGAATAGAGAACCCAACAGTTTAATGGTTTGTTTACATTTGAATAGAGAACCCAGCAGTTTAATGGTTTGTCCACATTTGAATAGAGAACCCAAGAGTTTAATGGTTTGTCCACATTTGAATAGAGAACCCAACAGTTTAATGGTTTGTTTACATTTGAATAGAGAACCCAGCAGTTTAATGGGTTGTCCACATTTGAATAGAGAACCCAGCAGTTTAATGATTTGTCCACATTTGAATAGAGAACCCAGCAGTTTAATGATTTGTCCACATTTGAATAGAGAACCCAGCAGTTTAATGGTTTGTCCACATTTGAATAGAGAACCCAACAGTTTAATGGTTTGTCCACATTTGAATAGAGAACCCAACAGTTTAATGGTTTGTTTACATTTGAATAGAGAACCCAGCAGTTTAATGGGTTGTCCACATTTGAATAGAGAACCCAGCAGTTTAATGATTTGTCCACATTTGAATAGAGAACCCAGCAGTTTAATGATTTGTCCACATTTGAATAGAGAACCCAGCAGTTTAATGATTTGTCCACATTTGAATAGAGAACTCAGCAGTTTAATGGTTTGTCCACATTTGAATAGAGAACCCAACAGTTTAATGGCTCGGTGTTGCATTCCCTTGTTAGTACAGAAATGCTTTTTGCTAGCTTTCCATTGATAAAGAATTATTTCTGAATGGTGGGCTGTTATGTCAAAGTCATGTTCTTTAAATGTGAGTCAGGATTAAAGTTGTCTATTAAATTTTAGATTAGTTTTAAATATTGGGAATAGTATAACGCAAAGTAATGTGATGAGAACATCCCCCAGGTATAAATCTCCTTATTCCGATTTTCGTCCTTTTCAGGACGAAATTTTTTGTCATTTGAAGCCCTACTCTGGCTTTTGCCAGGGGCCGCAATATAGGCAGGCCATAAATATGGCCAAGTGTCTGAACGCGGTTTCTGGGACCTCTCCACGGCGATCCTCATCCGCATGGTGGCACTTTGTGTCATCGGGTGTTTATCGCTTGTGTGATGTCCTGGTGGGGTAGAAAGTCAGTCAGCCTAGACATTAATCAGTGTTCTGATTTATTTAATTAATTTTTTTGTTTCTTTAATTTATGGAATTTCATATGAGAGAATTTTTTTTTTAATGAATTTGAACATAACGTTTGTTTTTTATTTCTTCAAATTTATAAATTATGAGCTTTAGTTGATAAGTCATATAATACAATTAAGTGTAACTGTTTCTGTCCTGTGTTGATTCTTAATTCAACATTCAATATTCATTCCACATACAATTTAGTGTGAATATTGTCTTTTGTTTCTTTAAATTATTGAATTTAATATACATAACAAAGTTTTCTTTAAGATATGAAATATTTATGTAAATTAGTAAAATTATGTGGATATACCGATCAATTTTTTTTCTTTAAGATATGAAATTTTATGTAAATCTCATTTTCTGTTAATTTAAATTGTGAGGTTTACTGAAAAGGCACCCTCTTCATTTATTTTTATACTGGAATTTAATCCAAGCCATGTTGCATCTTGTTAAACTTCAAACACAAAAATTGAATGAGAAAAGACCAACAGGCAGACCAAGAAGAGGGTGGAGAGATAATATACTCCAGATCTACAAATATTTGGAGTCATTAGCGGGGAAGGAAGGGCTGATCAGAGAGATCATGTTTTTGGGCAACATCTGCAGTAGTTGACCTCAAGGGCTCAGAATGCTGAAGAAGAAGAAAAGCAGTATGTGTCTGGCTGACTGATTAGTCTAGTCTACAAATACTTGACAATGAAGACACTGTTTGCTGGTTACCCCTTATTGGGTTTATAAGTAAATCATGATACAGTTTGCTTGTATTTTTTGTGATAGCATTTAATTAATTTGTGCGTTTTATTGTTAAAAACATCAAGTTATATACTGTGTGTGTGTATGTGTTTGTGTTTGAGTATAACATCTTGATTGTTAAGTTTACCGTGAAGCACAGAGATATTAATAGGTCCTCTACATTTACTCACAGTAGTTTTCTTCCTTTATGCATCTATTTCTTATATCACACATCCTCCTGATCATTTGAGCTGTGAGATCAGAAATTTGGCCTTTTCAGACAATGGCCACAAAAGCAAAAAACAAGAGATTCTGTGTACAAGTTTTAGAAAACATTTACTTGACAGTTGGAGATAGTGAAGAGTAGGCTAGAAGACCACTGAAATGGTCAAACCTAGCCGGGGCTAGATGAAGCCCCTTGTCATGAAAGGAGTTTGCCCAGAAGAAGTATGTCATCATCATCAGTTGTGGAGAGGAACAGCTTGTGATTCATTGCTTGATGGGCAGCAGTGACTATTGTCATTCTGTGTCGATGTAGAAGGTCTTTAATGTCATCAGTCCATATTCTCCAAGGGCGGCTTCTTGCTTTTATTTCAGATCTTTTTATGTGTAGCAACTCTGTTGGTAGTTGTTCTGGCTCCATTTTTATTAGATGACCAAACCATTTGATCTTCTGTTTCTGAATGAATTCTTTTCTCAGCAGATTTACTGAGAAGTAAGTAAAGTACTTAAAGGACCCTTTTTACGCCTTTGGCGTATGGGACATATGATGCCAATCTGATATATTTTTAGAGTCAGCATCATGGGTAATGTGGTTAGCATCCTACTGGCTGCCTTTACTTCCTCTGTAATTTCCTGCAATTAATTTTCAGGCTGTGTCAACCTGGGAACCAGGGTCAATAATTTGTTGTCCAAATCCGCTTAGTGCAGAGAAATAAATTTGACAAAAATTCTTGTTAAATTTGGAGACATTGATCTTTAAGATACATAACTGTGTGATGAAGAAGAGGAAGAACAAATATAAGGTGACTTTCTGAACATTTGGCCATCCCAGTTCCATTGTTTGTTTTATGTAAATATCATACCTCATTATGTAAAGATATTGTCGCCTCAACAGCCCATTCATCCTTTAATCAAAAAAAACATTGATTTATATATAATATATATAAATATATATGTATCATGATATTAGAGTACAATTGTTATATTTGTTTCCCTTCATCTCTGACACGATTTGTTACATCAGAATGTTGAGTTTTGTACTCACCTTGTATCTGCCATCATAAGTGTTCTTTGTTTGTGACATCAGAGTTTGACTCAGGCACAGTGTGTTTCACAGAATGGACCAATAACATATCATTGTGATTAAAACAGGGTTGTGAAAAAAAAAAATACATATTTTCTTTAAAAGTTTGTATGTGCATGTAACAAATTATTTTTGTTATTGTTGTTGTTAAATCATCGCCATGCAGCAGGTTCTTTTCAGAAGAACCAGTACAAGCACGAAAGAAAGCTACTTTGTTCTTTGCCAAATTTCCCGCCTAATAAACCTTCATTCCCAGAGTGTCCCTGATATCCTGTGTCTACCAACGTGATGGTCAACCCATGTCTCTTCTTTCCAGAACCATAACCTTCATTGCTGGATTTCTTGAAGTGATTATAGTGTTCAATGTGACTGCAGTTTCTGAACAGTGAAACTGTCTATGACCCATCCCCACATCGATATTCAAATCCAGTAGTAATGTCAGTAGATTTCCTCTTGGTCCAAGATATGCTGTCAATCCTCCTGCAACATGAAAGTTCTTCTTTTTCTGAATTTGTGCTTGAAAGGGCAGTAGTGTTGTCCTGTGGTTTACAGCTAGGCTGCAGTATCTGCACCTGTTGGCCCAGGACATTCGATTTAAGCAAACCCCTCATTAGTCGCTTTCTGTACCTGCTTGTTAAGGAGCTGAACTAAATCTTAGGGCCTCAGAGATGTGGTTTTACAGAAGAATCCTTAAAGTTCCTGGGACAGCTAAGAAATGCAACCCAGATGTTTTGAAAGAGGCGAGTGCTCAGAGACAACATATCACAAGCATCAGAAAGAGACAGTCATATCTTTTTGGTCATGTTATGATAAGAGGAAAACTGGAAACATGTTGTGACCACTGGAAAGATCTGTGGAACGAGAAACAGAGGAGGACAGTGCGAGAAGATTCTTGACAACCTTTTGCATGGCATGGAAGGGTGTCAGCACACAAACTGACACACGCAGTTGCGGATCATGGATTGTTGAGAGGCATGATTACCCATGCCAGTGGGCAAGGCACTTGATGATAATAATGATGTTAAGGGGGGGAGTGGGTCTTTTCCTTTTTCCCCAGAGTAGGATCCTGGAACCAGTAAAGGGAAAATTTCAGTTCAAAAGCTTCTATTGCAATGTTAGTGGGTTTTTTTTTTTTTTACTGCTAATTTTCCACAGAGCCAAGGCAGCATAGGGACCAGCATGCTTGCCTGCCCACCATTTGGTCAGGTGTTTGAATCCCAGCTGAGATGGGGTGATATTTACAAACTGACTTAGGCTGTCCATCAGACTGGCCTAAAATGGGTAGCAGGAAATTACCAGTGAAGTAAAGGTGATTAGTGAGATACTGAGAACATTTCTCAGTGACTGCCTCGTCTTCTTGTTCTTCTTAACCATCACCAGCTGTAAACTTCTGATGGAGAGTTCTTGTTGTTTGTCCACTTCTGGACTTCTGGTTTTGTTTAGAAATTTGAGTTTGCATACAGGTCTGACTTATCTGTATGCAGACTGTTGATCCCTTATCTCTCAAGTAGATGCACTAAGACTGTGAAGGAAACACCCATAATTAGTCGTCTCCATAGGCGCCAAGACAAAGGATGAACGGCCGGTAGGAAGTGCATATTGAACGAAGCAAAAACTTGTTGCAGGACGAAAAAGATAAACCAGCCAACTGCTAATGGGTACGGTGTGCCTAGAGACACTGAGATGGATGCTGCATTGGAGAACGGAGCATAAACTGATTAGACCAATGTGTGGGATTTATGTATAGATAATGAGTAACTATTACGTTTCCTTAAAGTCTGTCCCATCCAGTAGCTTTTCCTAGAGTTAAGCATGGAAGCTGCTCCACTGATAGTTATCTGATCATGACTACATACTGGATACAGAACTGTAGCACCATGAACCCCAGCAGCATTAAATAATCATACACAGTCCCCTCCCACTGGAAGTCTCTCTCCGGGTCAGCTTTGTGAGGTTGCTGCAGGAGTGACAGCCCTGCTCCGAGCTGCCTGATGCTGTCTTGTAAAGTAATCACACGAAGGTGAAGACTGTTCTGTACCTGGTAGAGTTTAATTAGAGTTTCTTCTAAATCTGCTTGGATTTTTTTGTCATCGTCATCTTGATCAACAACTTCTGATGGCTGGTAGTCCCAGGAAGGAGATCCTGGCTGTTTGTCCAAGTCTGAATTGATGGCTGACCAGTCTCGATGTGGCGACGTCTGCTGCTTGCTTCTGTCTTCTTGAGGCTGACCACTTTGATGCGATGTTGCCATTCTTGTCGACAAAGGATCGCAGTCCACATGACCAGCTGTCTCAAACTTACGAGGTGAGAATATATGTTTATTTGGCTTTTTTGGTATACCATGTGCATCTTCAGGACCACCCACAGCAGAATGTCTCAGAGAGTTGTCAGTCTTAACTTTTATTTTACTGTCTGCCAATACATGTGGTTTCTCTTTGTCTCTTTTTCTTTTTGATGTTTGAATTACCACTTCAGACTCACTCTTATTCCAGACTACACTTCTGTGCTTGCTTTCCCTTTCATTAACTTTCTTACTGGACTTGGGATCTTGTTGAATTGCCTGGGATCTACCCAATGAAGGACTTGCGCATGGACACATTTTATCACACTCACCATCAGTATTGCTACTGTTACTGTCTGTGTTCAGTGTATCCATACTGCCTACCTGGGTGCTGTTATCTCCTTGGCCACCAGAGTTCTTGGCTACCAGGCAACCACATGCACACTGCTGTCCGGGATCCAGAGATGCCTGGTTACTAGTCCCTTTTAAACAACGATGTCCACACTTAGACCTTTTTGAACGCTTCAGATTCCGTTCTCTGCTGCAGGATGTTTTGGAATTCTCACTGGGACCATGGCTTGTTGCTAATGACATATGAACTGGAGACTTTTCATTCTCATGTGAGTGTGCTGCTTTCACAACCTCAGACTTTGCAAAAAGGTCTTTGTTACCTGGCCTACTGTCTTGTGTGGATTTACTTTCAAGTTTCTGTGACTCTGTTTTCATGTCACTATTAAGCTCATTTTTTTTAGAAGTTGTTTTTTCTACCGCAGACATAAGCCTTTTGTTTTTCTTGCCGTGGGTGGCAAAGTTTTTGCCATGCGAGGGGTCTGAGTTTGGTGTTGTTTTTTTGTCACCGCTAGCATTTTTTGTTTGCTGTCTTATCGGAGACACGCCGGCGTCGTATTGTTTAGATTGTTTCTGCTGGTGTTGCGGCCATTTAGGAGTCTGTTTAAGTATTCCTGGATTAATTTGGGTTGTTTTATCCTGCCTTTGTTGAATGAACCCTGGTTGTTTGTCAGGGCTTCCTGCAGGTTGAAGCTGTGGGCGAGACATGGTTTTGTTACGTGCCCTGTTTGTTTTGTGAGGTTTGAGTTCAGGTTCGGCCTGAGGTACAGGCTGTTTGCCTGTGATATTTTTCTCATTGACCTGTTGATTTGACTGCCTTTGGTTGTGGTTAGAGGCCACCAGTGTTGACTTGCTTTTATTCAAACGTGTTGATTCTTGAGAGAATCTGCTGCCAGATAATCGCAATACACCGGAGTCATCTGCGCTTTTCCTACAACGACATCTTGGTGTTTGCAGTTCAGAATTTACTGGCTGTTTTATAGTGCAGGGAAACTGTTTGGAATATGGTGCTTTCTGTGAGGGTGACACTGAAGAAGACGGAGAAACTGTCTGCATACGTCTAGCAGAGGGAGGTGCCTTTACAGAAATATCTCGACTGGGACTTGATTTGGAAATGGTGGTTTTGATGTTGGACATAAGTGAGCGGAAACGCTGTTTGGGTAGTGGAGGTTTGTTAGTCTTGACCTCTTGAGCTTTACTCTGAATTGCTATCTCTACTGTTGTATCTCTTGGATTCTCCAGCTGAGAGACAATTACTTTCTTGCCAACAGATTTTCTTTCGGTGCTGGGGCCTTCATGGACGACCGTGCCCGATGAGGTGCCAGATTTTAATACCCCATGACATTGATTAAAACTATGTTGGGGTGTCTTCTCATTGGATGGTGTCATTTTTCTCACTGGGATACAAGATTTGGAGCGTGGACCAAGTGATCTTCGCTGTCTTACAGAAAGAATTTCATTATCTTGTGTTTCTTTCTTTGTATTAAACTCTTTTGGTTTGACTGAACTGAAGATATTCAGAGCTTTGAGATTTGTGGATGGCTCCACAGCTGGCTTTTTCCTTGAAAGGAACCCAGTAGTGAAAGACTTCCGTTTATTGAATAATGGGGCGGGAGAAGGGCAACCATCTGAACATTTCATGGTTGACTGCCACTGAGACGAAGGGTTTATGTTCTGATCTTTATTTGTTGCATAGAAGCATTGCAACGGCCAGTCATTTTCATCTGAAGGGGCTTGGAAGGTATTTTCTGCTTCGACTTTCGAACAACCAGCATTCTGAAAGTTTCCTTTCGCTGCCTCGGCTGCACTGTCCCCAGAACTTAGTTTACACCAAGATCCGAGGAGGTTGTCCGTTCCAGGAGTGCCATGGTTTTTCCGATGAGCTTCAAACATGCCTGTGCTTGCTGGCATCTTTGCCCTGCTTGCTTTGAGTGCATTCCACAAAGTCTCCGTTTTTTCAAGTCGACCCTCCTGTCCGGTCAAAGCAGCATGTTTGTTTTTCACTCGCGAGTGGAGATTAGCAGTGGCTTTGGGAAGACAGCTCTTTATATTCCCACTCCCACGGCTGTCTGTTGGAAGTGTGCTGATGTTAGCAACATCTGATGTGGCCGAGGATATTCTTTCGGTCACGTCGCACTCGTGCCCACGTGGTCGGACAAAGGAGTCTGTGAGACTTCTCATGTAGCGGGAATGTGAGGCAGATCTGACCGGTATCAGGCTCTTTCTAACTGTACGAACAGAGTCCAGCTGACTAAGTTTTAGGTCTGTTTCTCTAAGTTGTTCCTCCTGCAGGTCGCTGTATGTATGTGCACTCATGGTGGTGAAGTCAGAGGTCTCGGCTGTAGGCTGTAATGAAGTACATCAATACAGAGAGCATTAACCTGTGCCTGCATAGAATAGGGAGAATTAAACTGATGAAATGGTTCATGTTTTGTGCTTCATTATATAATAATGATGTGAGTCATTGGACTCGAATTCACTTTGGACTCTTATTTAGTCACTGCAACAGAAAATCTCAGCTTATGAAGTGAAATACTACAGAACAATTATCTTAATGCCGAAGATCAAGAAAGGAAAAAATTGACATCCTACAAGATCTGAGCATCAAGGAAAATTGGCTCATAAACAGCATCCTGTCCTGAAAGCTAGGGCATTATGGCCTTGCTAAGTGTCATGGTGGCCGAAAGAGAGATGGAGGATGTAGTTTCTGGAAAACTAGGCAGAGGCAGACCACTGCAATAGTGGATACAAGACACGGAAGATGCATTGGCTTTAAAAGCACACAGGGCTGGGGAACTGGCTATAGAAGAAGACTTGTGAGCGTGCCGTGAGGAGGACTTGCTGATTGATGATATATTGATGTAAGTATTCTAGTAATGTACCTGACAGCATTCCGCAGAATTATGCCAGGCAACCTATTGTGCACTATAGTGTTTATGTCCTCATTATTTTCCTACTCGAAGCAGAGGAGTAAAGGCGAATGGAATACAATTACCACTTATCATCATAGTTTGCCCTGTAAGACAGCAGATCAAATAGTTTGCCCCCTTAGAGAGCATGCTTTCTGATGCTATACCATACAAGGCATATACTGAAAGAGAAGAGGGGCGTAGATCAAGAGGTGGACAAAGAACAAGATGGGAAGATAACATCAGAGAAACTCTACAGCACCACAATGTGTCCTTGGTCGAAACAGCCAGAAGAGCACGAAGAAGGATCTTATATCTCCCTCGACTCCCGAGGCGGTAAAAGAGGACGTAAAGAAGAAGACGAAGAAGGTAGCGTAGGTGCTTATGTCTCTCCACAGATCGCCGGCCTTAGTATTTTGAATCGGTTCCTCTGATGATATACCTCCATGCCCTCGCTTCAGGTTGTCAAGCGTCATTTCTCTTTGCCTCTGAGCCTTCTATCGCTGATCTTTCCAGTCGTCACAGTGGTCTCCCGTTTCTCTCTTCTCATCACATGACCGTAGAACACTGACTGCCTGTTTCTTGTAGATGTAGTTTTATAATTTCGTTAGCCACTTCTAGTTGTTAGCTACTCTGGTTGGCCACGAAATCCGCAGCATGAGTCGCAGAAACCACATCTCCACAGCTGACTGACTGGTTGACTTTCTACCCCACCAGGACATCACACAAGTGATAAACACCCGATGACACAAAGTGCCACCATGTGGATGAGAATCGCCGTGGAGAGGTCACAGAAACCGCGTTCAGACAATTGGCCATATTTATGGCCTGCCTATGTTGCGGCCCATGGAAAAAGCCAGGGTGGGACTTCAAATATCGAAAAATTTTCGTCCTTAAAAGTACGAAACATATATATCTCCACAGCTTCTAACTTCTTCTTAATAAAAGATTGCCATTAGTGTCAACAAAATAGGAACTCTTCATTGGCCAACGAATAAAAATGCAGAGCACAATTTTTTTCTGATCTGCCAAAAACAGGAGGAAACTGCCACACTTCCAAATAATAATTTTACCGACAGTAAAAAATCTGGTTTCTGGTGGAATATGTTCAACACATTTCCATATAAATGGTTTCACTCGACAACCGAACATCGTATTATTGCAGCCGAACATACAACAAACAGCAAACCTGATGGCAGTAACTGTCGCTGTTGTTGACATGTATGTGCTGTTGTGACTTGTGTGGCAGCTTCTCCTCTTGTTTCTGCGCAGATAAGAAAACAGAGGATTAATAACAACAGCGAGGTAGAACTATAAGATAAAAAAAGATTTACAGAAACCAGCTTGGCTTAGCAGACATGAAGTAGGTTTTTGACAGCCAGCTTGGATTGTCAGAAAAGAAACAGGATTATGACAGCCATTTTGGATTATCAGATAAGAAACAGGTTTATGACGCCAGTTGGCATTATCAAACAAGAAACAGGTTTATCGAAGTCAGCTCGGATTATCAGATAAAAAACATGTTTATGACAGCCAGTTAGGATTATCAGATAAGAAACAGTTTTTTGAGAGACATGTGAGATTATCAGATGCAAAAGAACTTTATGCGAGAAAAGGGGGATTATCAGATAAAAAACAGGTTTATGAAAGCCAGCTCAGATTATCAGATGTGAAACAGGTTTACGAAAGCCAGTTGGGATTATCAAGTAAGAATCAGGTTTATGACAGCCAGTTGGGATTATCAAGTAAGAATCAGGTTTATGACAGCCAGTTGGGATTATCAAGTAAGAATCATGTTTGTGACAGCCAGCTGGGATTGTTAGATAAGAAACAAGATTGATGACAAAAAGGCGGGATTATTCGATAAGATAACAAACAAGAGATGTATGACAGCCAAGTAGGATTTTCAGATAAGAAACCGAGGATTAATAACAGCCATGTAGGATTATCAGATAAGAAGCACAGGTTAATGTCATCCATGTGGAATATTCAGGTAAGAAACAGAAGGTTTATGACAATCATGTCGGGTTATCGGATAAGAAATGGAGGATTAATGACAGCCAGGTGGGATTCGCAGACAGAAATGAGGAATTTAGGTACGTCAATTGGGATTATCAAATAAGAGACGGGATATATAGTAGCTATGTAGAATTAGTAGATAATTAATAAAAAAATTTCATGGGCCAGGTTGAAATATCAGATGAGAAACAGAGGACTCACGAAAGTCAACTGAAAAATATGATTTATGACAGCCATGTTGGATTATCAGGCAATTGAGGGTTCATGGCAGCTAGGTGGGATTATCAGATAAAACACAGAGGATTATTGACAGTCAAATGAATTAATCACATGTGAAACAGTAGACCTCGTAACTTCATAAATAAGGCACCGGATTGCCAATGGTAAAGCATAGATACATTAAAATTATATGACAGAATGACTAAGGCAGAGCTGGTACCACTGGAACGGGAACTCTGCTCTGGCTGCTGAAGATGGGAACAGGGTGCTTATGGGAATGTCCCAAGGGCTATGATGTCGGTTAATAACTCAGCTCAGAAAAACTGTAAGGCCCTTTCTACAGAACGTACGAGGAAACATGAATTACGTGAGATCTAATATCACAATGGACACAGGAATTATTAACGTGAGGAGGAGATTAAGTAAGTTGCAGAAGGTAACAAAGTGTAGGTCAGCTTGGCATTAGGCGTTTAAGGTCCTACGTTCCATTGGAAGAAAAAACGCAGAAGGAGAATTCTGACCTGTCATAGACAGACAATTCAGTGGCTAACAGGAAAACAATAACGACAACAATGTGCTAACAACTGGGGCTTAACATCTAAAATAGTTTTATCTGATAGTTTACAGTTACGGCCTTTGTCATTCACAGCCTTTTCTGGCTAGTATTTACTTCCGGTGGTCAAACGGAAGTCAGAGATTCAGCTAGCCAGAAAGTGTCTCAAAGACACTTCAATAATGTGATTTGTTTGCATTGTTATTCGAGGTATTGAATATTTATATAAGGCAGTGGTTCTCAGCCTTTATAATGCCGCGACCCTTTAATACTATTCCTCGTGTTGCGGCGACCCTTTAATACAATGCCTCGTGTTGTGGCGACCCTTTAATACAATTCCTCGTGTTATGGCGACCCTTTAATACAGTTCCTCATGTTGTGGCGACCCTTTAATACAGTTCCTCGTATTGTGTCGAACCCCCAGCCATACAATTGTTTTCGTCGCTACTTCATAACTTCAATAAATATTTGTTTTGCGATGGTTTTTTGGCGACCCTGTGAAAGGGTCGATCGACGCAAAAAAGTGTCGCTCGACCCAAAGAAAGGGTCGTTACCCATAGGTTGAGACCCGCTGATGTGAGGTGTTGCTGAAGACTCTCTGGCCGCATTGTTCACTTCTTTGTTTGTATTTATGATAATGTTAAGCTGGCTGATTCTATATTTCGTCTGATATCTTTTTATGACCATAAAACTTACTACAGCCAGCTCACCGAGCCTGGACATCAATTCACCAGTGTTCTCATGTAGGGAGTTCAATTGGTGTTTCTTTTGTCCCCACTGCTTCAAAACTTTGAACTGAGTGAAAGAGGACGTGGTTGAAGAGTTCTGGCCCAGATCAAATAATTTGTCTGGCACTGCTGGAGTCCAGGGTTGTGAGGTTGCTGCCGGCTGGGATGTTTCTGACGCTGGCTTCTCCCACTGGTTCTGTGTGCTCTCGGACTGTGAAATAAAGAGATAGCAGATTGAACAATAACTATTGCAGAATAAACAATAACTAGATTGCAGATTGAACAATAACTATTGCAGACTGAACAATAATTAGGAAACAGATTGAACAATAACTATTGCAGATTGAACAATAACTAGATTGCAGATTGAACAATAACTAGATTGCAGATTGAACAGTATCTAGATTGCAGCTTGAACAGTAACTAGAAGGAAAATGGAGACGAACATTTAACATGCAAAAAAATATTAACACAACAATTGAATGTTTGGGCATGTGAGAATCAAATATGTTGAGGTCTGGGGATACAACATGGGATCATATTAGAACAAAATATGATGACATTTGAAAATAAGACATTTTTGGACATATACGATTAAAATTATGGGGACAAGAGGATTAAATATGCGGAAATATGAGAATAAAATATGTGGATATATGAGAATGAAATATTTGGACATATGAGGGTGAGATATGTGAATGAAGAAACATATGACAATACAATATATGGCCACGTTAGAAGGTGAAGGGGACTATTACGAATTAAACGACATATACAAATCAAATATGGAAATGTTATAATGAAACATGCGGACATATGAGATTGAATAAATCTGGACATATCAGAATGAAATGTATGGTCATATGACAATGAAATGTGTGGACATATGAAAATGAAATATATAGTCACGTGAGAATGAAACCTGTGAACATGTAACTGGAATAACAACAAGTGCAACAAACAAACAAAAAACATGAAGAGGTGACAATGTGGCATAGGTGTGACAAGAACAATGAGCTGGTAATCAAATGAGAAGCTGCATTATTATCAAAAGTGACTATCACTACAACAAATAATAATACAGTGTGCCCAGAAGATGTGACGAAATGGTTACAAATGGCAGCACTGCAAAACACTTAATTCTCATGCTGCTGTTGGTCTCGGCAAAACGTGCTAGTTTCAAGGCTTTTTTCTCTAGGGAAAAAAAAAATACAACAAAGGTGCCGGTACCAATCTCAACGTGTTAAAAAGTCTATGTTCACCACAAAGTGTCTATTACAGAAGTACTGGACAAAGTGTATGCCAAACTACTCCGTACAGCACACAACCCACCACCCCACCTCCAGTAGTTGGTTACGAGTGGCCAGTTTGTATGGTGACATCTGAGAACGTTAACCCGGTCTACAAATGCCATTAGAAGAATGCATCAACCAAAAGACGGAAATGTCACAGCCCCGCTGTAAGCAGGCACGACCAAATTTGTTCAGTTTACAAACACAGACATATTAGACGAAGAAACAATCATATGCCATCCGTACACTTTCCTTTCTCCATGGCTACTAAGGGCAAACATAATACTAAGTTATTACTATTAATCGAGTATAAGTTTTATATATCCAGAAGCCATGAAAGTAAGCATTTTGATACCGAGCTGAAAAGAAACAGGCAATCACAAAGATTAGGTAAGCAAGGACGCACAGGTGGGACTCTCAGGCGATCACAAAGATTAGGTAAGCAAGGACGCACAGGTGGGACTCTCAGGCGATCACAAAGATTAGGTAAGCAAGGATGTACAGGTGGCACTCTCAGGCGATCACAGAGATTAGGTAAGCAAGGATGTACAGGTGGGACTCTCAGGCGATCACAGAGATTAGGTAAGCAAGGACGTACAGGTGGGACTCTCAGGCGATCACAAAGATTAGGTAAGCAAGGATGTACAGGTGGGACTCTCAGGCGATCACAAAGATTAGGTAAGCAAGGATGTACAGGTGGGACTCTCAGGCGATCACAAAGATTAGGTAAGCAAGGATGTACAGGTGGGACTCTCAGGTGATCACAGAGATTAGGTTAGCAAGGACGCACAGGTGGGACTCCCAGGCGATCACAGAGATTAGGTAAGCTAGGACGCACAGGTGGGACTCTCAGGCAATCACAAAGATTAGGTAAGCAAGGATGTACAGGTGGGACTCTCAGGCGATCACAAAGATTAGGTAAGCAAGGACGTACAGGTGGGACTCTCAGGCGATCACAAAGATTAGGTAAGCAAGGACGCACATGTGGGACTCTCAGGCGATCACAAAGATTAGGTAAGCAAGGATGTACAGGTGGAACTCTCAGGCGATCACAGAGATTATGTAAGCAAGGATGTACAGGTGGGACTCTCAGGCGATCACAGAGATTAGGTAAGCAAGGATGTACAGGTGGGACTCTCAGGCGATCACAAAGATTAGGTAAGCAAGGATGTACAGGTGGGACTCTCAGGCGATCACAAAGATTAGGTAAGCAAGGATGTACAGGTGGGACTCTCAGGCGATCACAAAGATTAGGTAAGCAAGGATGTACAGGTGGGACTCTCAGGCGATCACAAAGATTAGGTAAGCAAGGACGTACAGGTGGGACTCTCAGGCGATCACAAAGATTAGGTAAGCAAGGACGTACAGGTGGGACTCTCAGGCGATCACAAAGATTAGGTAAGCAAGGACGTACAGGTGGGACTCTCAGGCGATCACAAAGATTAGGTAAGCAAGGACGTACAGGTGGGACTCTCAGGCGATCACAAAGATTAGGTAAGCAAGGACGTACAGGCGATACTCTGCCACCAAACCTGATAAGAGACATAGGACATAGGTATCACTCACTATATCGACTAATTGCACATGATAGAAAGGAATACAATAATTGACTCAAACGTTGGATGACGGATGGACGACACAGCAAGGTGATGATAATGATATCGATGGTGATGAGGAGGGAAGGGAAACAAGAGTTATAATAGACAACGGTGTCAAGTTCTTGCGGAAAGTTGGCAGATTCTCACAGACCTCTAAAATCATAACGATGGTTCTTCTTAACTATGTCTGAACCTGTCTAACACGTCACGACAGTTTGTTGTCTTGGTTTATTTAAAAAGTTAAAGTATTATTAATGGACCAAAACGACGTTGTTTCGTCTTGTTCGTACACTTTTAGAGTTTAAACTGCATACATTTTTTAAAAAAAAAGCAGCAATCGGTTTGAGCTTAATGTCATCTCTTGAGGTTTTTCTCCTCTTCTTCTGCGTTCGACCTGAAAAAGGTGGTTGGGGCGTTGTATAGTTACAGCTAGGCTGCGATATGTGCGCGTTTCAGCCCAACACATCAGATTTCAGCCAACACCTAAACACTGTCTTTTACGACATGCTTGTTGGGGGCAGTAAGAGTATCTCCCCCTTCCTCCTCCCCAACCCACTGAGGCGCCAGAACTCCCACGGGGATTCGTTCCTCAAGAGGAGCAGGTTTAGCCAGAACTAACCATCGTTATCTCATATCTTAAGTTTATTAAACAAGGGGATATGTCAGCCTCACAATAAGCAGACGGTAGCCGCTGTGTTCTACCGGCTAGACGCTCGCCTGCGGATCGGAAGGTCGTGGGTTCGGTCCCTGACGAGGGCCAGATTTGTTCAAACATGACCTTGACTCACAGGTCGACCCAACCTCGAGTGAATACCAGGTACAGTCCAGAGAAGTAAAGGCGGACGACGTGATGCTGACCACATCACCCACCAAGAGGCGTTTGGTCTGTAAAATATAGGTCTAGCCCTAAATAACCAATACGCCTGAAAGGCGTGGAAAAGGTACCTTTAATTTTACGTACTTTTTTACAACAAGCAGGCAAGTTAAAAAATATAAACTCGCGGCAGACATGTGGTTTTTGAGAACAGTGCAAAGAATATCATGGCTTGATGAAACAAATCAAAACCAGGCAGTCTTCATCGGGACAGATAACAGTTGCAACTTATTACATGCCAATACCACCACTAATTTATACTATTGCTGCTACTACTAATTTATACTGTTGCCTTTATTAATGCCACTACTGCTGCTACTACTACTATCACCCACTACTGCTGCTACTACTACAGAAACTTAAACAACAACAGCAACTACTATAACTACTACTACTAAAACTACTACTGCTACTACTACTATTAAGTACTAATACTACTATGACTACTACTACTAGTACTGCTGCTGCTGCTGCTACTACTAACTACTACTACTGCTGCTACTACTACTACTAACTACTACTACAACTACTGCTGCTGCTGTTACTACTACTACTACTACTACTACTACTATCACCCACTACTGCTGCTACTACTACAGAAACTTAAACAACAACAGCAACTACTATAACTACTACTACTAAAACTACTACTGCTACTGCTACTACTACTATAAAGTAATAATACTACTATGACTACTACTACTAGTACTGCTGCTGCTACTACTAACTACTACTACTGCTGCTACTACTACTAACTACTACTACTACTACTACTACTACTACTACTACTACTACTACTACTACTACTACTACTACTACTACTACTACTACTACTACTACTGTTGCTGCTGCTACTACTACAACTGCTGCTGCTACTACTACTACTATCACCCCCTACTGCTGCTACTACTACAGAAACGAAAACAACAACAGCAACTACTACTACTAAAACTACTACTGCTGCTGCTACTACTACTATTAACTACTATTACTACTACTACTAGTACTGCTGCTGCTGCTACTACTCCTACTACTAACTACTACTACTGCTGCTTTTACTACTAACTACTACTACTACTGATACTACTACTACTACTGCTACTGCTACTACTACAACTACTGCTGCTACTGCTACTACTATCACCCACTACTGCTGCTACTACTACAGAAACGAAAACAACAACAGCAGCTACTACAACTACTACTACTAAAACTACTACTACTGCTGCTGCTACTACTACTACTACTACTAACTACTAATACTACTACTACTACTATTACTACTACTAGTACTGCTGCTGCTATTACTAACTACTACTACTGCTGCTACTACTTACTACTACTGCTGCTGCTGCTACTAACTATTACTATTACTACTACTACTGCTGCTGCTACTACTACTATTAATATTCTACAACAACAACCAGGGACTCATACAATCATTACAACTGATTACAATTCATACAGTTCTCCAGAAAAAAAAATCTTTTACCTTTCTGCAATCCAGTTTCCTGGGATTTAAGTTTAAATAAAAAGTACCCGGGCAACCACCCTGTGGTAGAAAATATCAATACCTTTATACAACTACCACAGCAACAGCTACAACTGTTTTGCAACAACAAATTCATTCAGATCATTACGATTATTTCTTGACTCGCATGTCAACCCAACCTCGAGTGGGTACCAGGTGCAGTCCTAGGAAGTAAAGGCGGCCGGCGTGATGCTGGCCACATCACCCACCAAGTGCCGGTTAGTCTATAAACATATAGGTCTAGCCCTATATGCCCACTACGCCTATAGGCGTGGAAAAGGGACCAGTTACAATAATTTAAATCCATACAGTCACAATGTCTCTGACTTTAAAATATAATCTCCCACCATTCTACAACCTGGTTTCCCGCCAGCAAGGGAAGTAACCGAGCAACTACCCTGTGGTAGGAAATTTACCATACCTTTCTCTCACTGGTTCAGTAAAAATGTCTTTGGAGTGGAAACTAGTATCATCTTATTTACACAAGTCAGTGATAACTGCATCTGATATGGTCTTCTTTTAGTCCAGGAAACAAACTGGGGAGTTAACACATAGTACACCGTACGTAGACATGCGTGCACGTGAAATGTTTTCAGTAAATAGACTGATAGCTGGGGGAGATATAGGAGACTTTGAAGAGTGGACGGCGTTTAATCTTCCAGGCTACTGTTTTACATAGAGCTGATACTCTGCTTCAGTGTCTTGTTTTTATCAAAACACATGTAAGGGAAGGATAGGGGTTGATCTGATAGAGCAATTGTTGGCGTATATTTTCAAAATAGTTGGTAGAAATATGAGATTAATCACACTAAGGGGAAAAGAGAGAGATGCCAGAAAACATATTTGAAGTTAAAGTCGAGAGGGTCGACTTCTTTGCACCGGGTTTTATCTCCCATGGCTTGGTTTCTGTCTGGCCGCATGCAGCGAGTGTCTTACATAGCACGAACTCCATAGCTCTAGCGATAATCCTCGTGGATCTTCGTAAAAATTACAATCGTGAACTGAACGACGCATTAGTGAAACGAAACCACAACCTTCAGAGCGCGAACCACCCCCCCCCCCCCCCCGATGTAAATATTTATCACATGCAACCCAAGTTCAAAAGAAACTGTTGGTTCCACTCATCATCATCAGGTACCCTGCCGACTGGAGTGGGCGATCATGCCTCTCCATAATCTACGATCTCCTGCAGCATGTATCAGTTCGTGTGCCGACAAACCTCCATGCCATGCAACAAGACTGTCAAGAATCTTCTCTCGTTGTCTTCCTCTATCCCTCCTTCCACAGATCTTTCCAGTGGTCACAACATGTTCTATTTTCCCTCTTCTCATAACATGGCCGAAAAATGATGACTGTCTCCTTCTGATGTCTGTGATAAGTTGTCTTCGGGCTCCCGGGCTGTTTCAAAACCACTTGGTTGCTCTTTTTGGTTGTCCAAGGTATTCTAAGCATTCTTCTCTAAAACCACATCTCTGAGGCCTCTATAAATTGTTTGGCCTGCCTATCGATTGTTCAGGATTCACAGCCATATGTTAAAACCGGTTCCACTCACGGAGTAATTTTGCTGGCCTTATACACCTTTTTACAAACGATAGTATCACAATCTACAATTGCATTAGTGTGTGTTGTATTGGAAAGGGGGAGGGGGGGGTGGTGTAACAAAGTCAGGTGGCACCCGGAGCGGAATATTTCCTGTTACCCCCAGTTGCATTGCAAGATCAGGTGGTACCCGGTTCGGAAATGCACACACACATACACACACACGCACACTTTTAGTCTGAAAACACAAATATTTTTTTTCCATTTTGTCGTTTCTCCTCATTGATGACACCCGGTGCGAACTGCGCATTTCCCCTCTCCCCCCTACGCCGTTTGCTACCCCTGTGAGGAGCAAGAGTTGAGGTGGAGAAGAGGGGGAGGGGGGGGGGGCTTCTTATCACAATTCAAAACTATATTTCCCGTTTATGAATTTACAATAATACGCACACAACTGACTAGGTACTTCTTCTGTTGTCAGCCTCATATTTGTATCGCAAGGCAACGCAGTTTTACAGTTAGTCAATAGTCCGACCAGAGTACGCATGGTACAGGGTTATTCAACTTAATTTACAGAGACTATATTTTGAAAATGAGGATCGTCATGGGCTAGAGATCAAAGCCCAAGCACAGAAAGATCATTAATTCAACACAACTGGCAGTGACCCGCGGGCCACAGGCTAGACCTTCGCCGGTTGGCCGGCGGGGAAACAGATGAATAGCTCTGGTGTTATGTGATGTTGAGAAGTCATGGGTCTCACTGACTCCTTCATTCCATATTTGCCTGGGTCTCACTCTGCTTCCTAATGTTCCATTTTCATGTTGTATGCTCTCGCTGCTGGTATTGTTAGATTCATTCTCATTAGGTAGCGCGAACCATTTCAGCCTCTAAGGTTTCGGTGAATAAAGCGATGGGTAGTGTTCCAGTAGTTTTAATATCTTCATTTCTCAAGCGATCTCGTTGTGTGTACACGTTTGCTGGACTTGTTGCAGCTTCATACTCAACAGAATACTGAACTGCAAGTATGAATCACATCAGAAACACACTTAAAAAAGGAAATACAAAGTATTTAACTTCTCCAACTACATAAAAAGCAACAAATCCAATTGTTTGACCATCTGGTGAGAATGCTCTTGCATCCAATACCGGTGAAGCTACAGTGGAGAAATATAATGAACACAAAGAATACCATGCAGAATATGGAACGACGGCATCAAGAAC